TGACACACGTTTGGCTATATATCTTAAGTACGTTGTGCACAATTTTGTGTGAATCTGCCTAACATTGAGTATTTGGTGCTCCATTTATTTAAAATCGGAAGAAAATATATATGGGAGCTATATATAAATCCCAACTGATTTCAGCAAAACTTGACACATGTAGCTATGTCAAATTAAAATTAAATCGGGCGAAAATATATATGGGAGCTATATATAAATCTGAACCGATTCAGTACGCTATGTCAAATTTTGTGTAAATCGAAAGACCACCATTTACATTAAATCGGTTGAAAATATATATATGAGCTATATCTAAATCTGAACCGATTTTCCCCAAATTTCAATAAGGTTCGTCCTTGTGCCAAATAAATGAGCTGTGCCAAATTTCATCCAATTCGAATCAAAACTTCGACCTGTACTTTGTTTACAATTTAACATGGACAGAACGGCGGACGGACATGCATAAATCGACTTTAAAACTGATTCTATGCATATTCTGAAACGGAAATATGGGTCTATCTTGTTTCCTTTTGCCTGTTACAAACATATGCATAAAGACATAATAACCTGTACCACAGTATGATGAAGGGTGTAAAAACATACATACATAAGATGAACACCTAAAAATTATCAAAAAGGTACATAAAAATCATAGGTGCCCATCAGTATACTTTAAAGTAGCTGCCTACTCACACGCATTGTTATGCTCTTTCAGTCAGTCGTTGTTTGACAGGCAACGAATGAACACATGATGGGGTGCGCGCACAACCAGAAAATTAACGAAATAACACTTAGGGATAAAAGTGTTTCAGTATATTTTGGATTTTTATTTTATTATTCAAAATGCGTTTTGTATGTTTAAAAATTTTTAAAAACAACAGAACAATTGCTACTTTTTTAAAAAAATTAAATATTTGATAATTATCGTAGTATTTAATATTACAATATGATTACCTCGGTACATTCTACTTTATAATCTTTATTAGATTTTTTTGACATATACAATTTGTAATTCATATAAAAATATTTTTAATAATGATTTTAATTTATATAATAACAAAAATTAAATTCTTCAATAATTTTTCCGACCACCAAAATGTACACACAATTTTGTTCGGTACTGTTCTGCTTTCTCTCACACATACTACCGCATTTTAATTTTGGGCACCTATGATAAAAATACATTTGTTCTACGCACTTCTACATAAGTCTTATATATAAAATGATCAATTAAGTAGAACTTTTTTGTAGCTTTTTCTTATGTATCGTTTACAGCACGACTTCATTGACATTACTTGTAATTATTAGTACATATTGTAAGAACAGAAATAACAGTTTGTAAAAAGGGTTTTTTAAGTGAAAATAATTTGATACAATTTAGAAATAGTGCTAAATAAGTCATTGGGGTGCTATTGTACTTTTGACTTCCAAATAGTGCTAAAATTAGTACAATTGTACCAACTTTTGCATCCCTGATTTGAATATAGCAATTTACCAGAAACGACCAGAATTGGCTAAGAGGAGTTTTAAAGCATCATCCATACAGTCCGGACCTGGCACAAGCGATTATCATATTTTTCTTGCATTGACAAATTCTTTAATGATAAAAAATTGGTATCTAGAGTTTTTGGTATACTAGAGTTTTTTTTTTTTTTTTGCAAATTGAGAGCAGGACTTCTATGAGAGAGACATTATGAAGTTACCTTTAAAATGGCAACAAATCATACAACAAAACGTTGCAATCGAACATTCCGAAGCATGTTAAATAAAGTCTTATAGTTCATAAAAAAATAATGGATTTTTTCCCCAACCTAATACTTTTGTTCTTTCAATATATCGGAAAATTGTTTGTTCTGGGCCCCCTTCGTATGTCCCTGACTCCCACCTAATAGGGAATTTTTTTTCGTAATGGCGCAAAAAACGCAAGATTTTTTATTGAATGTGATGATCCAAAAATTGCATGCAAATTATGCACCGATTGAGGTGACATTTTGGATAGTGCGCTGTCTTGTAGCATACTAAATGGCGTATGTCATTTTTATACCCTTCACCACACCGTGGTACAGGGTATTATGTCTTTGTGCATATGTTTGTAACAGGCAAAAATAATCGAGATAGACCCATGGTTCCTTTTGAGAATATGCATAGAATTACTTTCTAAGTCGATTTATGCATGTCCGTCTGTCCGTCCGTCCATGTATTTTTGTTAACAAAGTACAGGTCGCATTTATCATCTGATTTGAATGAAATTTGGTACAGGTCACTTAATTGGCCCAAGGATGAACCCTATTGAAATTGGAAAAAAATCGGCCCACGTTTAGGCATAGCTCCCATATAAGGGTACCCCCAAATTTCGGTATTTTGAGGTTCTTGAACGCGTTTTTTAACTGAATTCGCTGAAATTTGGTACTTTGAGTTCTTATTGGGTAGCAAATCTTCCTACTAAAAATTATAAATTAAGGTCCATTTTTTCGGATAGCCCCCATACAAGGGTACCCCCAATTTTCGGTATTTTCGGGTTCTTGGGCTCGTTTTATAACTGAATTCTTTGAAATTTTTTACATTGTGTTATTATTTGGTACCAAATTACTCCACTAAAAGTTATAAATATAGGTCCAGTTTTTCTGGTAGTCCCCATATAACGGTACCCCCAAATTTTTAGTATTTCGGGGGTTCTGATCGTATTTTCGACCGAATTGACTGTAATTTAGTACGTCGAGTTCTTATTAGGTAGCAAATCTCTCACTATAAATAATAAACATAGGTCAATTTTTTCGGGTAGCCCCCATATAAGGGACCCCCAATTTTTGGTATTTTGGGGTTCTTGAACCAAATTCTTTTTATACCCTTCACCACACTGTGGTACAGGGTATTATGTCTTTGTGCATATGTTTGTAACAGGCAAAAGCAAACGAGATAGACACATGGTTCCTTTTGAGAATATGCATAGAATCACTTTCTGAGTCGATTTACGCATGTCCGTCTGTCCGTCCATATATTTTTGTGAACAAAGTACAGGTTGCATTTATGATCCGATTTGGATGAAATTTGGCATAGGTCACTTATTTGGCCCAAGGACGAACCCTATTGAAATTGGGAAAAATCGGTTCAGATTTAGATATAGCTCCCATATATATTTTCGTCCGATTTTATGTAAATGGTGCACCAAAGTCCCCATATATATCTCGATTTGCACGAAATTTGGCACAGCATAATGAATTAGGTCTAGAATGATGTGTGTTAAGTTTCCTGAAAATCGGTTCAGATTTAGATATAGTTTCCATATATATTTTCTTACGATTTAATGTAAACGGTGTACCAAAGTCCCTTAATATCATTCGGCTTACACTAAATTTGGCACAGCGTAATGAATTAGGTCTAGAATGATGTGTGTTAAGTTTCCTGATAGATATAGCTTCTATATCCGATTTAGATATAGCTTCTATATATATATCTATTCTATTTAGATATAGCTTCTATATCTGACCAAATCAAAAATTTAGTAGCGGTTGCAGAATGAAATGTTTATGGATCCAATTTTATTGTACTGGTCCTTTAAAAATGCGACGTCTGTTAGGATTCATCTGTTGAATATACCCAAAGTGGTGAAGGGTAACATATAGTCGGCCCCGTCCGACTTTACTACTTTCCTTACTGGTTTAAAAATGGTCCAGATTTATATATAGCTCTCATAAATAACTTTGTTCGATTTTATACAAATGGTAGACCAAAGACCCTATTTATGCCGTTTGACAAGAATATGCCGATAGACAGCAAAATGACACATGTATGTCTGGATCGGTTCATATATCTGTACAGATCACATAAATAATGTCGTCCGAATTTATGTTAATGGTCCTCCAAAGGTACTATATATGTCCATCATCATCTTTCACTTCAAGTGCAAAATGAATTTCTGAATGGTTTATGGTCAGAATACACTACATCACATCTACACCTACATCCATATAAATTCCAGCTCACGAAAAAACTGAAACCAACTGACCATTCACAACGTCGTAGATACGTAGAATGTTTGCCTATACAACAGGAGTTGGAAGGCAATTTTTCATACAAAATGTTCTTCAGCGATGAAGCATATTTCTGACTCGATGATTATGTTAATAAACAAAATTATCGTATTTGGGGTTCCGAGAATCCTCAAGCAATTGAAGAGAGGCCATTATATTTAGAAAATGTTACTGTTTGGTGCGCCCTTTGGGTTGAAGGTGTAATTAGACTTTAATTCTTCGAAAACAATAATGGAACGACTGTCAGTTCGGAACGTTATGGTCATATGATAACCATTTTTCACTCTTGTTTATATGTATGTATATCCTTCAGTGAAACAAAAGACTTAAGAAAAAAACGCTAGATGCGAATATCTGTATTTCAATTTCTGTCCGTTAATACCATCGTGTTGGTTATCATATACGACCCAAACAATGAACTTTCTGTGAAGCTAAAGCATACGTCGGTATATGAAATTTTAACCATTTGTTGGGGTAGGTACCAGAAGAAGTGGACCAATGGGTGGAAAGTTTGGATGAAATTGGTTACTCCATTCGAGTGTTATCCACCAGCCGATTAGGCAGATGGATGGACGGGCATTTGCAAATCGATGAAACGGAGTTGGTACAATAAAACAATATTTCGATGAGGCACATTTTTGCCATAACATAGCCGTGAGGGTATAAATATAGTTTATGGTCCATTGTATTCCCTAATTATTGACCATCGTTACCAAAAAATATTGGTGTCGCCTTTAGTCAGAACCAAACCTACACGCAAATTACAAATTATCATGGACGGACGAACTCACATTGCTAGATCGATTCATCTAGTCGATATATATGTTGGATCAAATATTTCTCGAAGCTCTTAGTTGCATAGGGTATCAAAATGACCATCCATTTAGCAAATAGTTAAATAAACTCTGTTCTTTATTTTGCAAGCAATTTATTTTTATTGTTTAATAATTTCCAACACTTAAAAATCCATTAACCATAGAAACCGCCAAATCCTCCATAACGATTGACATAACGTGTACGGGTACGTGTTATTACGCGGGTTCTTCCAAAACCACCACCATAACCGAAGTATGGCGGTGGTGGTGGAGGAGGTCGCCCAAAGGCTGGTGGAGGGAAGCCGAATGGTGGTGGCGGTGGTGGAGGAGGATAATAACCAAATTGTCTTACTTTACGCCCAGAAGTATTTTCATGTCCTTGTATATCCTGCGACAATAATTCCGGTGTAAGGGGCGCTACATTTTCAACGGCTGCAATTTCTTCTTCCGCTTTAATGGTCGCTAAATTACGGGAAATAATTAGCAATCCTGCTAATATTGTTATTAGTCGCGTTTTCAGAATGTTGTGAAACATATTCTGCGCACAAAGACAAAAATTGAACTAAACTGTTTTAGAATTGGAGGGGAGTATTTATTATTTCTTTTTTTTTTTTGGATGTGGAGTTTATTTATGGGGAATTATTTTGGAGTTTCTTGAGGTAATGTTGTTTAGTATATTTTTTTGCTAATACCCTAGAGCGGAAGTTTGACAAAGACAAAGTAAAAACAATTATTTCTATGTGATGATGATGATGACTTGCTACACTGTTTCCCTGTAGAAATATGTATATGTACATACATATATATCTCAAATAAATATCTAAAAATATTTTTGTTTATTTTGAACTCATTTTTTATATTATTTGTTTTTAAATTATTAGATTTATTATTCTAATTGGAGGCAATTTGAGGTTCATGTAGTTGCATTAGCAGAAGGTCTTTCAGCTACCTTAATAATTTATTTTGTCTATGGAAATTCCAATGGTATTTTGAATCGATATTTTATCTGATGCTGTCTTTATTTTTGATCGTAACCAATGATAAATATAAATTTTGAAAACGGTGTAATTATTTTTGTTTAACTATATTTCTGTACCATATCAATTACTAAAAGCAATTGTAGTTTTCAGAAAAAATAGAAAACCTTGAACTTGAGTATGGTGTTCGATGAAACGAGTTTAGACGTCATTACAACATGATTGAATGAAATCCCCTCTCAATATCACATGTACAGACATACATATGTATGTACACCTATATTTATTTCAAATTTTAATTTTTTTAACCAATATGATTGATATTCTAAAACATGCGTGGTCATGTTAAAAATACCTCATATTTATAAACATTGAATGGAGGAACATTATAGCTACATATATCCACATATAGGTAACAAGAACTTAATTACATGGTTATATATATATAGGAGGTGATGCAAATGTGGCATACCCATTTGTTTTTAGATTGCCAAATTTTTATTTTTTATCCGATTAAATTGAAATTTTACACTTAACATGCTACAAGTGTCAAGTTGTCTTCCCATGTATCAATTTGAAAATAATATTATTCTAACAATTTAAGAGATATTTGAGAAAATATTTGAAATTCCAAGTGATTGTTTATACTCTTTCGAGTCGAGCTTGATGATCTAAGTTTTGCAATGAAAAGGAAAGTCAGGAGAAGAACCTACGTACCCACCATTATGCGACGCGTTTCGCCGTTGGTTAAGCGGCTCATCAGGCATATTGGGCTATGTGGCTTTACAAAGGTCGTACGTTGATAACTTGTATTTATTCCGCCCTGATGCGAAACTTACATATGCGAATTAAATTCAAATTTGTCAAAGTTCGACATTTGTCTTCATTCTAGGAACAGTCCTTTTCAAAGCAGATTTTTGTTGTAGCGATGGATAATTAATCCACACACCTACAATTTCTTCCATGGTATACACATGTTTTTTGCGCAACCGTTTTCGAAGTATGTTGATGGCTCAGAATATTTGTGTTGCTCCGAGGACCTAGGTTCCATTATAAGTGATGTTAAGGTGGTATAGTATAATTTTCACGTCCAATTGATATCTTATATAATTTATTGTTTTTAAAGAATACGAATTAGCTCGAGATTTATGTCTGTCAAGATTTTTATGTTGAGTAGAACTTTAATTTTTATTATATAATAATGTCTACACATGGCAATATTTAATTTTTGTATGGAGAAGTTGTTAAAACTCATATCCTTTGTTTTCCATCCTTGTGACTCATGGTAGACTCTTGTAGAGTACAAATGTTTCAAATAGTAATGAGATTTTGTCTTGTACTGGCTTTTTTCATACAGACTCAAGGTATAACACGTTACCTGCACTTGTGTTTACGGAAGAAATGTCTAGTTGTTTTCCTAAATTGGTATATATGTGGTGCAATCGCGCATATTATTTGATTTTTAATACTTACTTATTATTTTAATGCTTTAATAATAAAGATTAAAATACATCTGTAAAACAAAAAAAAATATATTTTTTTAAACTTCAACCGAAAAAAGTCAATTTCATGAAAAATTTTATTTTTGCTGCTGATTCTCAACGTGAGTTAAATAAATAAAACAGACCATTGCTATCTTATTTTTTGAGAACAGCAAACTGTACAACATGTTTCAGTTATTCTAAAATTTTCAGTTTACAAAAAAGTGACTATACCACATTACCAACCTATACCACATTTGCAGCACTTCCTCTAGTATTTTTTAAATTTTTACATATTTATACATTTAGCACATACTGAAGACAACAAAGAATTTGTTGCCAAAATATTATTCATTTTATACTGTTAATTTCAAAAAAAAAAAAAAAAAAAACTATTGAATTTAAATATACGGTTTGTTTTGAGACTCGTAGTGAAATTTGACGTAGAATATTCCGTAGGCGATTTTTAAGAAACTAAACGCATATTATTTTAGACTCAAACATTTAAATGGGAAGAAAATATAGATGAGAGCTACATCTAAATCTGAACCGATTTTCACGAAACTGAACAGACATGATTCTAGAGGTTCAGTATGAAACGGCTAAACTAACGAATCGAATAGATGACTTTGGCAAATTGTTTGAAAATTATACGTTGCTGCATAACCTGAAACATCTCAATCAACTCCGAAACGACGTCAATCGGCCAGAAATTTAAACAAGATAAACGTTTGGAAAACGAGAACAATGAATCCAAAGTTCCGTCGATTTCAAATCGATCCTCAAGTTCTACATCATCTAACATGTCATCGCCAAATTCAAAGAACTCTAATTCAAATAATGATCTGCCTTTAAACTGTCAGCCTACAAATAATGTATCTAACATGGTGTTTGAAAACCTACCAATAAGTTACGCAGGAATAGTCAACAATCCTCCTGCTACTCTTTTGAATGATGAACACCATGGTATTATTACACTTAGAGCCATTCCACTGAAGAAAAGTGTTTTTATAACGAGACTTGCAGCTGAGACTACGGTTGAATCTGTTGACGTTTTCATAAAGTCGAAACATGGGCAAACTACTAATATTTTAATTCATAAATTTAACTCAATTCAACAACGCCAAGTATTTCAAGTATTTCGTGGAATTTTCTGTCCGAAGACAAATACTTAATGCCGGCAGATATACACAAATCTTATGAAGAATTTTTCGACATACTCTTTGATTTTGGTCTATTTCAGGTAAATTGTATACGTAACTCCAGCCATAAGTTATTAGACCTTATCTTTGTAAATCATGTAGAAGAGTGTTACGTTAAACGAACTGATCCACTAACATGCCCCGAAGATAAATACCATCCGACAATAGAAATGAATGTCGCCATTCCAACAATCAATAAAGTCGAAAATAACCATCGTATCGAAAAATCCTTCTGTTTTGCTAAAACAAACTATATACAGTTAAGTGACTTGTTACAGAACACTAATTGGCATGACCTCTTATCCTGCACTTAGGATCTGAATTGTGCCATAAACATATTTTACACAAAGTTATACGAGTACATTGAGGTCTGTGTGCCGAAAGATTTTTATAAAAAGTTGTCTGGACCACCATGGAACACAAAAGCATTAGCAAGATCTAAAAATAAAAAAATAAACAGTTCAAAAAATATCAGCGTACCGGTTCTGCTATTGACTACGGAAAATATTCAGTGGGACGTTCAGAATATATAAACTTGTATAATATTTGCTATACAAAATATATCTCAAGGCTCAAACATAATTTTAGACAAAAACCGAAATCATTTTACAAATTTGTCAATTCCAAACGTAAAGTTAACGCTTTTCCTGTAACTCTAAGATATGGAAACACTGAATCATGCGACAATACTAATATAAGCAACTTATTCGCAGATTTTTTTCAATACAGCATATTCAACTAAAAGCTATTCTAACAACATATAACCTTTTGAATTGAACTCTAAGCAATCAATATCAATTACAGAGTTGGACAGTAAACAATTTTAAATGGATTGAAGCACTTAAAATATGGATATGATTTTGGACCTGATAAGATCCCAAGTTGTATTCTAATAAAATGTGCTGAAGCTTTTGTTTTACCCTTAACTATCCTGTTTAACGCTTCGATTAATCAAGCTATTTTTCCTCACATATGGAAAATGCCGTATATCATTCCACTATTTAAAAGTGGAAATAAATCCGATGTTGCTAATTATCGTGGAATTGCAAAATTTAGTGTAATTCCAAAGCTCTTTGAAAAAATCATCACTGATAACATTTACCATCATGTTAGTTCTCTTATATATACCTATCAGCCTGGATTTCAGAAAAAATATTTCACAGTAACGAACCTTCTACACTTTTCCACCATAGTTAATCGGGGATTTCTTCGAGGAATGCAAACCGATGCTGTTTACACGGACTTCAGCAAATCATTTGATAAAGTCAATCACAAGCTATTACGATTAAAACTTGAGTGCCTGGGATTTTTTCATACCTAAAAGATAGGAAACAAAATGTAAAATTTAATAATACCATATCGAGAAGTATTGCAGTTTTCTCTGGAGTGCCACAAGGCAGCCATCTAGGTCCTCTTCTATTTTCTTTATTCATAAATGACCTACCTCAAACAACAAACATTTTCATATATCCTGATGATGATTTGAAATTATTTCTCAGTTTTTCAGGCATCTCAAGTAATGACTTGTTACAGCATGATTTGAATTAGTGTTCGAATTGGTGTAATATTAACCTTATGGAGATAAATTACTCGAAATGCAAACTCATGAGATTTACAAGAAAGGGGTTAATGATACTGATTACACACTTAACGACTACCCTCTTGAAAAAGTTAATGAGTTTGTGGATCTAGGAGTTCTTTTGGATCGTAAACTGAATTTTAATTCTCACATTTCAATAACAAGTCAGTGCGTGAATTTATTAAACGGTGGAGTAAAGAGTTCATGGATCCTTATGTCACAAAAAAAATATATATATATATATACACAACGCTCGTTCGCCCTATACTGGAATACTCTGTCTGTAAGGAAAAAGTCCATAAACTAATAAATAAATAAATTTCGTGCAAATCGAAAAATATATATATGGCCATTGGTGTAACATTTACCGTAAATTGGATGAAAATATATACGTGAGCTATATCTAAATCTGAACCGATTTTCTCCAATTTCAATAACGTTCGTCCTTGGACCAAATAAATGAACTATGCTAAATTTCATCCAATTCGGATCGTAAATACATGGACGGACGGACATGCATAAATCGACTCAGAAAGTGATTCTACGCATATTCTTAAAAGAAACCATGTGTTTATCTCGTTTCCTTTTGCCTATTACTGTTAAACCTATTATTGCCTATTATTGTTAAACAAATGAAGTTGCAACCTTACAGTGAAAAGTATCCAAGATAACAGTTTTTTAACTGATTTTTTTGGATGGTTAATACTTAATATGATATCCCTTTTTACATCGTACAGCTCTCAATCTTGCCGGAATATTTTTTTTCCAATTTTCTGAATTTTTCCTTATTCTATTTGTAAAGCATTTTTTAGACTTGGGATTCTAATTTGAGATGTTATGGATTCTAATATTTTTCTCCAAAATACTCCATAATTTCTCTATAGAATTCAAATTCGGGGACTCAGGAGGTATTTAAATCACTTTTGTACAATTATAAAGCATCCATTCTCGAACGATCTGGGAATTATGGGGTGATTATCTAAAATTGAAATGTTGTCCCCAATCCCAGTCTTTCAGCACTACATACTACTTATCTTTTAGAATGTTTAAATAGTAAATCTTGTCCATAATTCCTACAATAAAAAACGACATTTCCCTGCGTCATACCTTACTTAGTCCATCCGATCCTAACAATTTAAATTTGCTTTCATCTGCAAAAAATACAGATTTCCAAAATGCAAAATTATGTCTTCATGCATATGTTTGTAACAGACAAAAGGAAACGAGATAGACACATGGTTCCTTTTGAGAATATGCATAGAATCACTTTCTGAGTCGATTTACGCATGTCCGTCTGCCAGTCTGTACGTCCATGTATTTTTGTGAACAAAGTACAGGTCGCATTTATGATCCGATTTAGATCAAATTTGGCATAGGTCGCTTATTTGGCACAAGGACGAACCCTATTGATTGGGAAAAATCGGTTCAGATTTAGATATAGCTCACATATACATTTTCGTTCGATTTTAAGCCACCAACGTCCCTATATATCTATCGATTTGCACGAAAATTGACACAGCGTAATGAATTAGGTCTAGAATGATGTGTGTTAAGTTTCCTGAAAATCGGTTCAGATTCAGATATAGCTCCCATATATATTTTCGTCCGATTTTATGTAAATGGTGCACCAAAGTCCCTATATATCTTTCGATTTGCACGAAATTTGGCACAGCTTGATTAATTAGGTCTAGAATGATATGTGTTAAGTTTCCTGAAAATCGATTCAGATTTCGATATAGCTCCCATATATATTTTCGTCCGATTTAATGTAAATGGCCCACCAAAGTGCCTATATATCTTTCGATTTCCACGAAATTTGGCACAACGTAATGAATTATGTATAGAATGATGTGTGTTAAGTTTTCTGAAAATCGGATCAGATTTAGATATAGCTCCCATATATATTTTCGTCCGATTTAATGTAAATGGTCCACCAAAGTGCCTATATATTTTTCGATTTCCACGAAATTTGGCACAACGTAATGAATTATGTATAGAATGATGTGTGTTAAGTTTCCTGAAAATCGGATCAGATTTAGATATAGCTCCCATATATATTTTCGTCCGATTTAATGTAAATGGTCCACCAAAGTGCCTATATATCTTTCGATTTCCACGAAATTTGGCACAACGTAATGAATTATGTATAGAATGATGTGTGTTAAGTTTCCTGAAAATCGGTTCAGATTTAGATATACCTTCTATATCTGATCAAATGTATTCCGAGCCCGAGCAGTATCTCGCGACCGTCTAGAAAACCAGACAAAAAAACTTTTCGTACATTTCATTCCCCTAAATATTACTAAATATTAAATATGATCATCACCGAAAATTATTGGCGTTGTCCTGGACTATACCCGGAATTACGCGTACAATTTCAAAGACATCCGCGCGACATTCGTGTCCTCGTCCGTTGTAATGACAATACTAAACAATATCAGAATAGTTAGACTCCTGTAAATATAATATATGTCAGGCCACTTAAAATTGCGGTACAATACAATTTGTTTTTGAAAATTCTGGATTGCACGTTTGAAAAGTTAGAAGACAAAATTAAAAAAAATCATTTTATTGTAGATTGATCCTCACATAGTAGGCTTGAACAATTACTTTGACATGGAATTCTCAGTTACAAATCGATGTTTTTAATCGATTAGTATACCAAATAGCGAAGTGTGTATTGTTGAAATCAAGATAGATAGAGAATATGTACGTAAAACTCCCACATCCGGTTACATAGAACAATATAATTGGTATCACTTTAAAGGCCAACCACTCTTCATGGATATACTGTCAATTATTCTGGTTTATGTCCTTTTGAAGTAAATATATATGCCTTAGAATGAACAAGTCTGGGTCCATTTGACCCGCCAAATATTGACCGATCCTCATGAAAATGCCATGCTTATACTAGGGATAAGTAAATCGACTTTCGACTAATCGATTAATTGACTTTTTGTATTGAAATGTCTAAACATCGAAGTTGTCTTTTGATCATTGAGGAAATCGCAAAGTCGATTTCTCAAGATCAACTTTCGATTTTCCTTATAAATACTTGGTTTATTATCAGGAAGCCCCAATTGCCCAAAAATTACACATTCTAGAAATTTATTTTATCTGTTGACAACAATTCATATAAAAAATAAAAATTGTTAGTTGGCATTTCGAACAGGTTTGGTAAAATCGAAAGTTTGGAAAGTCGATTTTTTAGTCAAAGGCCAAAATCGAAAAGTCTAAAAATTGAAAAAATTTAATGTGTAATTATATAAGTGAACTATTATTTTCCAAATGCACTGGCTGAAGCAGATGCAGCACCACCATAGCTGGAAGCCGAAGCTGAAGCAGCTGCACCATAACTACCACCGCCCCAACCTCCGCCGCCATGATCGCCACCTCCATAGCCGCCACCGCCATATCCGCCACCTCCATAACCGCCTCCACCATAACCACTTCCACCCCAGCCTCCGCCGCCATATCCTCCACCACCATAACCACCCCAACCTCCACCGCCACCGCCACCTCCATATCCACCACTTACATAATGTACATGTACCGGGATAGTTCGTACCACCACGGGAATTGTGGTAACTACTGGTGGCGGTGGTGGAGGAGGAGGTGGTGGTGGGGCAATGGGTTGTACGACACCAATAACAACACCACCCAGTCCACCAAAGTGTCGGGCACGACGTACTCCAGAAAAGTCCTCTTTCACCTCAGTAGTATCCGATTCTGCATCAGCCGAAAATTCCTGATTTTTAATATCGACCTCCTGAGTTGTCACCTCACTCGGCCTGGCGAAGGCACAATGTGCCATCAGCATCAGTAAAATAAATTTTACTGATAGCATTTTTTTATAATTTGGGAAATATAGTTCTTCGTTCGAATTGTTGTAGACTTCGTAGTAAAGTTAGTTATGATTAGAATGCACACTGCTTTGAATTATTTATATATGATCTGTAGATTTGATTTTTTAGTATAAATTTTGCAGGAAATAACATTTGCGACTTCCAAAATACTTGTTTAGAATAAAATACAGAAAGATTGCATTCAGAAATTTCAATTTAGAAAATTAACACCTCTGTGTTTTGTTTCAGAGATGTGCACATTTACGGTTGACGATTATGGACGATAATGTTGGTTGCTAATGATGATGATGATGAATGCTACTGAATTTTGTTTATGCAAAATTATTATTATTATTAGTTAAACTAAAATTAATTAATTTATTTTAATTCAATTATTATATCTTAAATACCCTGTGTATAACTTGTTTCTGCATTAACACTTTCACTGAAGGTTAAACTAATATTAAATGTTGAAGAAGTGACTTATACAGAATTACTTTAAATTTCTGTTTTATTTTTAAAATGTAAATAAAATATCGAATAATGGATGATACCATTTTATAGGGGCTACCGGAAATTTGGGTCAATACTCACATTTTTGGTATGGAGATATTCTGCTCAATGAGAATTCTAAATATAAATTTACAGGCAATGTGGACGAAATATTTGCCCAAACTTCCCATAAACCTGAAACTTGGGATGTAGCGTGTAGCTCCCATCTACATCTACGTGACCAATCGCCCCCAACATGGATATTTTTAGTAGCGAGATTTTCTACTCAATTATAATCCCTAATATTTAATTAGAATCAATGTCCAAAAGCTCGATCTATGGGGACCACCTTAAAAAGTAGACAAGTTTGGATAAGTTCTTGTATGAAAATTATCTACGCAGTAAGAACCCAAAATACTAAACTACAGCCGATTAGGTTGAAAATGTATCTAAAAGCTTTAAACTATCGAAATTTGTGGGGTACCATTATATGGGTGTTATCATAAATGCTGGGCCGATATTTTATTTTCAATACAAACATCGTTGGCGTAATAGCAGTGTAAGTGCACAATTTCTAAGTCCTAACTTTAATATTTCAAGCTCTATTGTGATTTGAACAGACGGACGGGCATGCATAAAATTTTATTCTGATAGAGAATAATACGGGCAATATTGCCAATTTTTTAATATTTCATTTTCAAAAAATCGGCTTTTTTGTTTTCGTTGTGCATCAATGAAAAAGTTGCACATTTTCGCGAAATATGAGAAAAATAATAGAAATATAGGAGATTATGTCATCATTTTCATGATATTCATGACATACGTACACCTAAAAATCTATATATATATATATATGTATATATATATATGTATATATATATATATATATGTATATATATATATATGTATATATATATACATATATTATATATATAAAAATGGAGCAAGAAAAATTTATACTAACGCATCAATTGAGAACGGCTGGACCGATTTGACTCAAAATTTCTTTCAGTTGTCGGTAATTACAGTGGGAAGGTTTTTACGAAAAAAATTTGAGAAAAATCCGCGGAAATCTTGCAAATTTTTTTTAAAGAAACGGTTGACCGATTTGACTTAAAGTTTCTGTTTGTAGTCTGTAATTGAAGTAGAAAGGTTTTAATGAAAGAACATTTTGAGAAAAATCCGCGAAAATTGCAATTTCTACACATTTTATATCGAACCTTTATGGTTTCTTCTCTTCGTAGTTCTTTTTGGAGACATTTTGGGCGAAAATGGACAGCGTATATCTTTGAGTAATTGTCGATTATGGAAAATTCTCAAAATATGTACATTTTCTACAATTAATTTGATTGTCATTGCCTTGAAAAAAATATCTATGTATGTACGTTTGTATATATGTATGTATTGTTTGTATGTTACCGATAGACGCAAAAACCGCTGAACGGATGTTAATGGGATTTAAAAAGTATGTCATGACGTGTCCTGAAAGAACATAGGCTATATAAACTTCTAAAAATCCGCGTGGATGCAGAGTTATATCATCAAAAGTGAACATACCACAAAATGTCTTTACATGGAATATGCGCATATCTTTAGAACGGTAATAGATACCGCCTTCAAAATTTGTCTGAATAACGTAGGTGTAAATACACATCATCCATAAAAAATGAGCGTAGTACGATTGGGAAAATGCACTCATTGTTGCACTTAAAAAAATTAACTTACAGCGAAAATAACATTTTTTGTTTGATTAGTCAAAAACCGCCCAACAGATTTTACTGAGAATTTTTGCAGTCAGTCATGCTATCCCAAGAAAGTAAGATATGCAAAATAAATCAAAATTCCACGACGACGAAGAGTTATAGCATCAGCCGAGCTATGCACATATCTGAATATCTTGTATAAATCTGTTCATAAAAGTATGTATGATACTAAGATAAGTACACATCCAATCTTAAATGACCAGGAAGTAAAATTTGGTCAAAATCAGAAATTTTGGACTCAAAATTTTTTGTCCTATTATCAGTACATTATTATTAGTAATTTTTATAGCCACCAGTTCAGTAATTCCGCTAACGTCTACTGCTTTCCATCTCTCCATTGTCATATTCATACACATTGGAATAAAATTTGGGTAAAATGAAATTTTTTTGACATTATATTTTTCACATTAAAAAAACATTTCAGTTTTTGAACTTTTTTTAATTTTAATAATTCTAACGCCACTTGATGAATTATATAAAAGTATGCATCTGCAATAATTGGGAGATATCCTGAAGCGAAATGCGAATGATAGATTAAAAGTTATAATAATCTGAAATCTGTGGTGGGTTATCATCGTAGCTGACCTGAAAACAAAATGTGTACATTACTTGAGAAATTAAGTTTAGTTGATCAAACGGATATTAATAAAACTATTATTTGGAGGATGTATAGAGGAAACTACTTACTCAATAGCCACAAAATGTTATCTTGGGACTTGAAATTGGTTTCCTAAAAATACCAATGTATGTACAGTTAAGAACATGATACAACCATGAGCTAAGAAGAAGACTAAATCTAGGTTCGTTAAAAATATTACAATGTGAAGGGATCCCAGCCATATAATGGGAAATCAGATAAGAATGCAGACATAAAGGTAGGTGGTAATGGGAAAGAAGGATTTTAGTGGTGTTTGAACGATTAATGCAAAACATGTGAATATTGTAAAAAATATATTAGTGGAGATAAGTCAAGCTGTTTCAAATAACGTATATATTAACCAGCTGCTACAGTATTAGTACTGATACATTACACTTCGAAATATATATAGTCGAACAGTAATTGGGCTACTATAATACCTATATCAATCCTATCAATAAATAGTAGCATTTAAACTAAATACAAATAGTTTTCTTCGTGAACTATCCTATGTTAATCACTTCAGAAGGGGCAGCGAAGCGCCACGGGTCCATCTAGTTAATATTAAAATATCTACATATTGTAAACACCACGATAAATCAAATGATATCAAAATCACACAAGTCTGTGTAGGGTTTGTAAATTACAGCGAGAACAAAACAAGATATTAAGGAAAATTATTTGTTTTCGGTTCGAAGCAATAATTGGTCTGTTCCCGTACTTCAAGAATCTACTACTTTTTACTACAATAACGACTTTTCCTTTATGATATCGAAGAAAATAGTAAAATCGAGTAGATTCTTGCAGTACGGGAACAGACCAAATGTCATCATAATAATTTTTTATACCCTACACAACTATGTTGTCAGGGTATTATAGCTGTGTTCTGCCCCAAGAATTTTGTAACGGCGCGAAATATACCGATCGTCTTATCTGGACTAGCTGAGTCGATCTAGACATGTGTGTCCGTCCGTCTGTCCATTATGATTTGTAAACACGATACAGACCACAGTTATGGACTAATCTTCACGAATCTTCATGTAGGAAGGGTTTTGGCCAATGAAGACCCCTATTGTTTTTGGTAAAGATCGGTTAATATTTAGGGGATGATATGGACCAAATATTTAATTTTTGTTGGTTTTTCTGATCATCGCGAAATTTTACATGCAGAAGAGGATTAGGCCAGAGAATATGAATGCCTGCTGTCTTTTCTGTGAAAAATGACAAAATTTGTATTCTATGGCGTATATATTTACTCGTTACGCATATAGACCCGCGAAGTTGATAGTGTATCCAAGAAGAATGGTTGACCTTCAAAATGACTCCAATTACGTTGTCGTAAGTACCAGGATGTGGGAGTTCTCTTTAATCTCAATTGTGGACACTGACCTCCCCGCGGTGCCACCTGGGGAGCTATTTAGATTTAGTAGATTTTAATGCCAAAATCGGAAAATTCAGCCTCCATGAAGAAACATCAGACGATGGCATGAGGTTGATTGACTTCGCGGCATCAAAAAACATGGTAGTTAGCAGCACCAGATTCAAGCATCTCGATCATGTTGTGATAGACGGAAGGCATTTATCCAGTGTTCTAGACGTCCGATCAATCCGGGGAGCGAATTCGACCATTACCTTGTGGCAGCCATGGTACGCATCCGTCTTAATGTAGCAGCAAAGGTGCGATCTAATGTAACACGGAAACTCGACGTCGAAAAGCTGCAAACACAACTGATAGCAGAAGCCTACTTCGCTCAACTTACCCAACTGCTTGACGAAAGCACCTCTTGTTCCGATAATAATATAGAAGCACAATGGCAGAGAATTGCCCACTCTCTACAAACTGCAGCAAAAGCAACACTTGGGTATCAAAGACCACCATCAAGAATTCCGTGGTAAGATCAGGAGTGTTGTAATGCTACTGATATGAAAAAGGCAGCGTATAGGGCAACCCTGCGGACAGTAGCAACACTTAATGCGATGGAGAACTATCAGGAGAAAAGGAGAGAGGAGAAACGCATTTTCGGAAAAAAGAAGGAAGAGCAAGAAAAACGTGAGCGTGAGCAAATCGAGATGTACAGGAGTCAGAATGAAGTCCAAAAATTCTTCCAAC